ATGCACCGGCCGATGAGGCGCAGGCGCTGCAACTGCTGCGCGGCAGCACCGGGCTGCGCGCGGCCTTCCTGAAGGTGCCGCTCGCGGCGCTGATTGCCCGCCACTGCGGCGCCGATCCGGCCGCGGCGCGCGCGCTGGCCGAAGAAGCGGGCCTGCCCGGTTGCACGCGGCCCTGAGGCAGGCTTGCCGGGTACGGCAGGCCGTCGGCTACTTTTGCGTCTGCAAGTCGATGGCCCATTGGTAGAGGGTCACGCAAGACTGCTTGGTCTTGGCCAACTCCGCGCGACGGTTGGCATAGGCACCGTAGTCGCTGTTCTTCAGCTGGGCCAGACCTTCTTTCAGGTCGGACGTTGCCGCTGTGGACTTCCACACCCAGACGTCTTGCGACTTGTACGCAGAAACTCCGACCGAAGCGACGGCGATCAAGTAACGTTTCAGGACGTCGTAGCTGGCGGAACTGGGCTTGGCCTCCTCGATCTCGACCATCCCGATGGCGGCGCAGACGAGCGCGGTGCCTCCCACAGGGTTCTCGTTTTTCTCGCCGGCAATGTCGATCTTCTGCGCAAGGGCCAGCGTGCAGGCAGCGCCAAGCAGGGCGGCGGCCAGTGGGGTTCTCATCCTCATTCGGTTTCTCCAGACAGATGGATTGCAAATGCTCATCACGGCGCGTCGCGCTCAGACATGCCGGAACCAGGAACGGCCCGCACTCGCCAGCCAGGTCCTGCATGCCGGGGAGCGGTGCCACACGGTGGCCCCCACCAGCAGCAACGCGGCGGCGACAACGCAGACCAGCGCGAGGTGCTGCGCAGGCCCCTTCAGCACGTCACGCAGCAGGCCGTCGCCGTGGAGGACGAAGAGGGACAGCTGATTGAACACGTAGAGACCGAAGAACGCGTTCTCGATCAGCAGCAGGAGCAAGGTGGCAGGCGTCATCACGATCCAGCCGCCCAGCCGCGTGTATCGCAGCAGCCCCAGCACCAGCACGGTCGGCAGCGCGACGCGCAGCACCAGGCGCATCAAATGGATCTGCGCACGCGAGTCGATGTCCAGTGCCGCCACCAGCCAGGTGTTGGCAGCCGCCAGTTGCGAATCCAGCAGCAGCCCGCACAGCAGCGGGCCAAACCCGAACGCCAGCAGGGCGAGCTGCCAAAGCGGCCGCCGGAGGCTGGCGCGCGTCGGCATGGGCAGCAGATTCTTGGACGGGGTCAAGCGTGTCTCCGGTGGTCTGACCATGAGACGGCGGGCGAAGGAAAACGTCAGGGGCCGTTCGATGGCCGCCCATCTGCCGACTGATCGCCGGGCGCAGCGGGCGGCGGCTCGGCGGGACTGCACCTGACGCACTGCCCGGGGAGTTGGCCGAAGCAGCGATAGCAAACGTCGCCCCTGCAGACCTTGCAGGTCATCAGGTTGTCGCTGTCGTAGCTCTCGCCACACCGGGCGCAGTTGTCTTGGTAGCTCATGGGCTCTCCTGGCTGCCGATCAAGGCGGGATCGCCGCGCCGGGACGGCGGGGCGATGCTGAGAGTGACGGCGCCAGCGGCGTCTTGTCAGGGCACCGAACCCCCTCATTCAGAGGCCGGCGGCCACGGCTTCGCCACGCCAGTGCCCGAGCCCGGCGCATGGCTGCTGAGGCGCCTGGGGCCCTCCGTTCCGAGCGCGCGGCGACAATTGCGCCCATGTTCGCCCCGTCCCAGCTCGAAGTCC